CCGGGGCTCTGCCACTCCGCCACCGCCTTCCCGTGCGGTCCTGATGCGCTCTGGCCCGGGCTGTGCCCGCAGCGGACGAGTTTAAGCACGGGCTCTCTGGCCAGCCGCGGCATTCCCCACAGCAGAGCCAAGTTCTTTTTCTCAGTCTGTGAACCGTTCACGTCATCGTCGATGTAATCTTAATTCTTTTAGGATACGCAGTAATCCTGCTGAGGCATCTTTTCATCTCTTTTAGAGTTGTTCAGTTTCTTCTCTCCTGTTGTTATGTGGGGTAGGGGCTCCAGGGAGTTTGGAGATACACTGGGAATGTGATGACAGGCACCATTTTCATGTTTTTAAAAATAGAGCTCATCTCTTTAAAATAGGATTCAGCAACATTGGTTTAGATTGTCACAATTATACTTGCTTTTTACTTTAGAGCAAGACTCCCTGTTACTCCTGGACTGGCATGGAGATTTCTTCCCATCAGTTTCACCTCCTAGAGCAGCTAAACGAACAACGGAAGCAAGACTTGTTCTGCGACTGCAATATCCTGGTTGAGGGAAAGGTCTTTAAAGCACATCGCAATGTGCTGTTTGCCAGCAGCGGCTATTTCAAAATGCTCCTTTCGCAGAGCTCGAAGGAGACGACTCAGCCGGCAACAGCTACTTTTGAGGTTTTCTCTCCAGAGACATTTATGGTTATCCTGGACTTCGTGTATTCGGGCATATTGTCTTTAACTGGTCAAAATGTGATCGAAGTCATGTCAGCTGCTAGCTATCTGCAGATGACAGATATTCTTAATGTCTGTAAGACATTCATTAAGTCCTCACTGGATATTAATGAAAAGGAGAAGGATCATTACCTCAGCCTTTCAGCCAAAAGTACAAACAGTGAACCTGCTCATCCATCTCTTTATCGGTCAAGAAGGAAAGCAAAGAGCAATCCCAGGCGTTCCTATTCAATCCCGGATGAAAAGGCTAATCCGGTGAATGAAAATTCCTGGAGTAGTTACAGCAGCTATCTGTCCTCACAGGTGATTCTTCAGCGAGCAGAAACACAGCTATCAAAAAGAGGCAGAAAACAGGGCTCAACGAGAAAGCGCCGAAAGCACCTCGGACTGTCACAGCCCCGTGATTTTGTGCAGTGTAAATCAAACAAAGCTGAGCGGGCTGGCGGAGGTTGCAGCGCATCAGATTCCAGCCACATCTCTCAGGTTAGAGGGGAGGTTGAATTTGATGCAGAGAATGATGTTGATCATGATGATTACGGATATAGTCACGAATCGGAAGTGATCCCAAAGAGGTGGTCTGTTGCTCAGCTAGAACAAGAACTTGCAAGAACTTCTGAGTTCATGGAATTAAAAGCAGAAGAACTCTACACCTCAATGCCCACAATTTTAGGTGTAATGAGTAGTTGGAACAAAGGTAAAAAATACATATGGTTTTGCAAAGTTTGTCTTTTTTTTTTTTTGAAGAATTCAGATGATCTTTTGGAGAGAATTTGTATGGCTGCATGAAAAGCAAAATGATGCCTAGAGTTGCAGATTATTTTCTTGATCTACTTGATTATAGTGCCTAACAGAATGAGAGGCTTTGAAGCCAGAATAGGGCATGAGAATTAGAATCAGAGATCTTAACTCAGGTATTCTGTAAGTTAAAACAATATATGCCAGATTATTTGGACTCAAGTGGAGTTTAGTGAAGCCTCAAGAGCTATCATTGACTTGGAGACCTGAAGGACTGAATTTCTCTTGTAATACCCCCAACACCTGGCAGTGACAGCGGCATCCAGCCTAAGTCCTTTGCAAGAGAAGGTCCTGTCGCTGGCGGGACACTGCCTTTCCCTTAAGGTCCAAATCAGCCCAAACTTCACAAGTTTTGGCTACACTACATCTAAGCTCTTGATGGACTGACAGCACGTGCCTGAGATGGTGGAATAAAGTTGACGAGTGTATTCTTATGTGCATTCCTTTGGAAACTAATGTACCTAATATTTTATTACATTTGCATATTTTTAAGACTTTGGGCATCCTAGTATATTACATAGAGATTATAAATGTCACAGCTATGAACTGTCAGCTGATGGAAGAGGCAGATATGATGACTATGTGTTATAGCTATGTATTTATCATCATCTGTACATCAAAAAAATACCCTAAGAAAGAATACACTATCAAATGCAATTCAACACATTCAGTAAGACATACTGCATTTGGGGAGTTATATCATGGGATTTTTCTTACTTAGTGACAGACCAGAGGAAAAATGAACTGCTAGTTATTTAAGCTGAGCAATTAATCAAACTACTATACAAACACAGATTACTGATATTTGACATTTTACCTGTATTTCTCTGTAACAGATGACCTACCTCGGATGCGATTCAAATGCCCCTTCTGTACACATACAGTGAAACGACGAGCAGACCTGAAGCGACATCTTCGGTGTCACACCGGGGAGCGACCGTACCCGTGCGAAGCATGTGGGAAAAGGTTCACCCGACTAGAGCATTTACGTAACCACTTCCAAACGGTACGCTGTTTCAGTTGGAGATTCAGCCTAGAAAAACCCCACAAGATTTACTGGTACCAGCTCTTCAGTCATTTCCAGAACTAATACCAGAAAAGCGTCCTAGCTGCACATCACCTTTAATTATTCATTATTTAAATTGGCAAATTATATTTTTAATGTCTTTTTTTTTTAGAATGGTTCAGTGAATTTTCTTTTTCTAAATAAAAAAAATAATCTGCTTTTGGATGAACACTGACATTTTCAAATTTTTAATCTCTTTAGATACATCAAGCTGGCAAACTGATCTGCAGAAAATGCAAGCGTCACGTAACTGACCTAACAGGATGCGTTGTTCAGCAAGGAACAAGACGCTACAGACTGTGCCATAAGTGTCTAGCAGAAGCTAATTTTGACAGCATCCCTGACGATTTAGATGCAGAACATTCTCCTGTCTCCTCCACTGGAAACAAACGTTCCAAATGGGCTTTGGAAGAGGAACAGAAATCAGATGAAGAGACAGTGGAGGAGGAACCATATAATTTGGTTGTCCGACACGTTAATGATGATATTCCAGAGGAGGTAGATGAAAAGGTAAAACCAAATCTTAGGTAGATCTGTTCGTGTATTTGTTGCTGTTGTATTCAAGATTAAATTACTTGTGTCCTACCAACTAATGCTGGTTTATTACTTTCATTAAAATGACGTATTACTAAAATTCTATAATGAGAAGCAAAATATGGACTACAAACAAGCTATTTTGTACTTACAGACATGCAACAGTGTAACTTCTAAATATCATCCAGAAAGTACTTGTTATCTGGAAACTATTTAGAAGAATTGGTTTATATTTCATCAAAGACTTGCTCAGAGCTCCTGTTCATAATGAAAGTGTGAACCATTTTACAGTTCTATAAAGATTCTATACAGTATAGATTTTTTTAAAAGCAAATATTGATAATTTGCTTTGAAAAAATCTTACTAAAGTAAGCAGCTAAGATATGTAAACCACATTTTTGTTGACACTGTAATTAACGTGTATATACACTTCAGAAACTTGGTAAGAAAGGAGAAAACAAATTGAATCCTGCTGAAGAACCTATTTATGAGAGCTTTGTTTTCTGAGTGAGCTTTCTGCTTCTTAAGAGTTCAGAAAAAGCATGATTAGTTTTAAACAATACACACAGCCGTACAGGGTAGAATAATGAACACAGCATCTATAGTGCACTTGGATAGTATGAGTTTGCCTTTTCAGATATTCAGTGGTTTTGTACTGTGAATTTTAAACAAAGATACACTAACATGGTTCCAAGGAAATAAAAGCGCAATCACTGCAAGTACAGTTGTCAGGTTTTTTCCATTTTTTTCCAGGACTGGTGCAAGATTTGCTTAAACTCCTGTCTGTCTTATGCTAAGATAATAAAGAGAACAAGTCCCTTTAATTTCAGTGGGACACTTGTGACTTAGATCATTGAACTACTTTAAAAAGCCTTTCCTGCTCATATAAGATGCTTAATGGCTGTTTGGCAGTCAGCATAAGAATATTTGCTTATAAGGACAATTTCCCTTACAGTTTAAGCACCCCTTGTAATTCTGGAGTCTCTTTAGTTAACAATTTTTCCTAGCCATTTGGTCAGAGAATCATTTGCTAGAGAAACTGAAAATACTTTTTTAATCATTTTAGTACTAAGCATCTCAGAATGTATAGAAGAAACATTCCGAGTGAGAGCAGAGAATGGCATTCACAGTAGGTACTCTTGATAAAGAGCCACTGTTTGGTCTCATGTCTCATTTTATGCTACGTTTCCTTTCGTATTAGCAGCATCTGTAGCCTGAGGTTACTGCCAAGCAAGCAAAAATTCCCTGTAGAGAATTTGAGACCAGCCATATCGATTCACATCAAGGTTCTCCGTGTCTCCAGTAGTTGCCATTAACAGATACCTAGGGAAAAGTGAGAACAGGGCAAGCCTACAGAGCCTGCTCAACAAACAGCAAGAAAACAAGGCTTTGCAGTTAAAACATTGTTTCAAATTAATCACTTTCAGGTAGTTAATTGTCTCAGTGGGCCCCAGCTCTCAACCCCCAACCAGCAATAGGCCTCCTGCAACACAGTGGGAGAACAGAACTTTTTCCAGAAAACCTGTCACTCCCACAGCTCTAGAAACGGAACAAGGCAAATTTTAGACATTTTACAACAAGTGCTTAATAAATATTGAAAAAAAATTAGAGGAGTAACAGTTAATTCCAAATGTTTTTCTAGCAAGTTCCTATCACCATTTCTAGAAGAACACTTTACTGTGTTACCAATGGTATACAAAGGGCACCTCAGCACTTCTACAATTCAATTTTAACTACCTAAGTTTCTCTTTTCCCATTGTAGAGCTGGGCAGAACGAAAAGACCCCACC